ATATTTAGTGTGAATTCTTGATGCTACTTTTTTTGCTGAAAGCTGCTGAAATCAAGCTGAAAAGGTTTAAAAGCAGAACTGTTAGGTCCAGTTATATGTAACTGACTGTTGCTGAATGTAGGAAAATAAAAGTGAAGAATTAGTAGAAAGGCAGCAAAAAACTGTAAGAAAAAAACAGAAAAGAGCAAAATCAGAAGCTAAAATTATCAAAAAGAAGCTAAAAGATGAAACAAGTTCACAGAAACCAGCGACCATCCAGTTTGCTCACAGTTCAAACGGCTGCTTCTCCTATGGTATAGGGGTGCATTAAAGCCTCTGGCATGGGCAGTTTATCTGGAAATGCTTCATCAATACAGAAAACTAAAGATTTAGAACATCTCCTCCCATGCAAACACATTTTTTTGCTTATGTTTTATATTTAAATATAGTTTAGTGTTCATATTAGTTATATTAGTTTATAGTTTATATTTATATTTATACAGTAAACTATGTTTCTCACTAAGTATTGTTTTAGTTTTTGGTGTTTCCTCTTCTTCCCGTCACTCTGACAGTCTGATACGTTCTGGTCGACACAAAGCGCAGCTGTCCTGAAACATCCTGATCTGATCTTAATCCGTTCACAAACAAATCTCATCATTTTCTCACTAACCTGACACTTCCTGTTCTGCTCACCACATCATCAAACCCAACGACTTTAATCCTTTGTATGAAATCTGTTACGTTCCTCATCTAAAGGGATGCATTTGTTGCTGTGGATTTTATTTTGCGATCACCTGGATTATTTGTAGATATATCTTCTCTTCACTAAGTTTCAATAATAAAAAACAATCTGAACTTTTAACGAGTAAAATTATTATTGTTTTACATTTTAGCTTTGAAAATCTGGTATATATTTTTAACACCCTTAGCTCACGTATCATGTTAAACCTAACCCTAAAAGAGGGTTTAAATAAACAAGGTGAAATAAGGACAGAATACATTAGTCTTACTTGTATTATTATCTATTTACGAGCCAAATGATGAGTTAAGCTAAACTGTGACATAAAATAAGAGATAACCAAAACAGATGAGCAGTTTAGGCATATTAGAGATTAAAGAATTAATCTCTTGATGAGTCGTTCAAAAGAGACGTGATTTTGAACGAGTTACGTTATCATGTAAGGAAATATTTCATTACATCATGTGGGCGGAGCCAAGTGTCTTGTCAATGGGAACCCCGCCTCCTACTTTCCCCCTTGAGCTGCTGCACTCCTCCTGTTTTATTTATTTTTTTGTAAAAAACAAAACAAAACAAAGGAGCGTATGTGCTTAAGGGGGAAAATACAAATATTATGAGGAGTAAAACAAAATAAAACTACTAACGGTTCTTTATTGTTTGTGACTTGATTCCTATTGTTTGCTGTAAGAAGTTGTTCACAAACATCATGTCTTACAGTATTTTACTATTTTTTGCTCCGTGGAAACTTCTCACAGCAGAAAAGCAGCAAAGAACATGTGACTAACTGTGGACATTGAAACGAACAGGAAACAGGTGTGTTAGTGGCTATTTAATCAGCACCAGTGAGGACATGTTAATGAGAAAAGATTCAAAATGGAGAATCTGTTTGAATCATGGGAAAAACCTTGTGAATTTACAGAGAAGGTTTAGTAATTTAACATGGTTTAATTTAGCTGTTGGCATAATTTCAGAACATTTTGTACCATTTACTCATTGCCTGCCAGTGCTGGCTCTAGCCATTTTGGTGCCCTAGGCGAGTTGAAGCG